TATGGGATGAACATCGCATTGGATATGGGCTGAACTTGTCCTGAAATGGAAAATTTCCGGCCATATCCCTAGGAGGCCTTTGCAAAAATGTGCAGAAAAGGCATGGAAACTGCATATTTTTGAAAATGGCGGACTTTCTGAGGGCCGGGCCAAATGGAAGGCAATTTGAAAGATGTCCGCAATCATAAGAGCAATGTGTATACAACGTTTCGAGAATATCGGGAAAACTATATGCGAGTACTTTGGAGTCATTTGCGACAAGTAAATCGTCAAAAGATCTCTGTTAGCTTACGTCCGCCCCGATTGAGCTAGCAACTATTTTATTTGGCAATTTAGCATGATATTGATTATGGGCTGAACTTGTCCTGGACTGGAATTTTTCCGATCTTTTCCCTAGGAGGTGTTTGGGAAAATGCGCTTAAAATGCATGAATAATGCAGATTTTTCAAAATGGCCGACTTTCTGGGGGGCGGGGCAAATGGAAGCCATTTTGAAATATGTCCGCAATTCCAATTTAAATCGTCAAAAATGGTATATTCTCTGTTAGCTTACGAGCTCCCCATTTGAGCAGGAAACTATTCATTCGCAATTTAGCATCACATTGGATATGGGCTGATCTTGTCCTGGTTTGGAATTTTTCCGATCATTTCCCTAGGAAAAGTGTGCAAAAACGGGCTTAAAACACACATTTTTCAAAATGTCCGACTTTATGGGGAGCGAGGATAATGGAAGCCATTTTGAAATATGTCCGCAATTCCATGAGGAATGTCTGTCAAGTTTCGGGTAGTTGGGAGAAACTATATGACTACCGCACAATAGGGGGCGCTACTGAGCCGTATTTGCTAAAACGTACAATTTATTTGTACAGTGTGGAAAAGGTTGTGGGCTGTCACGTGTGTTCCGAGTTTAAAGGCCGTAACTAATTTCAACACAAAGTTATGTGTCCGTAAGTGTTTTTAACCCTTCGATTTTGAGAAAAAACTGAATAGGACACGCCCACATTCATCATTGGTTGCGATACTTTAAATCTCAGTTTATACTCATCCTGCCAGTAGATCTATGACAAAATATATTTATTTCGTCCATCCGTTCTTGAGGTATACATTTGTTGTGTTTTTGGCGCCCCCTATTGTCCAAAATGAGCTTACTTTGGTGTGCCTATTCCCCAAAACAGACTGAACCTATCCACTAACATTTATCATATTTGGATACATTGTTGATGAATTGTGTGAGCATTTATGTCTAAGCCACACCTTTTTGCCAATACGTTTTGATTGATGTCGGCCACAGTTTTCCACACAACATTCTAATTTCCTATGGTAATGTGTGTGACCCTCCACTGATGCTGTACACTGAGTTTGGTGTTGGAAAACATGAAATTGACATTTAAGTTAATATTTCACTGTTTTGAACATTATGCTAATTACAACAACAAAAAAGTAGGCGGAGCTTAGGGATACAAGTGGATAATATGTAGAGGCGGTCCACCCGGATAAGTGTGCAAAATGTCAGGTCCGTCAAACGTACGCTGCGACTATGTACATTTCTCGAAAAAGGGAATGTTCATAGGTGGCGCTAGCGAGCATGTTGGACATTTTTAACCCATCGATTCCAGAATGTAAAAATATTCACCCGTCCTGGCGGCGTTGCCAAATGTCGCTACATGAATAGTGTCGTAACCCCCTCAAAAACAGGTTGAAACTGCAGAAGAAAAAGAATAATAAACATGTGAATAACAATAGGTCTTCGCACACTTCGTGCTCAGGCCCTAATAAATGAAATGAATACATGAGTCCGGGTTTAAATAAATGAATACGGAAATAAATACAGTATATATATATATATATATAAACGAACGAAGTTCGTAATCAAATATATGGTAAATCCCTAAAATATATTGCATTGAAATCTCATAAGTCTTACACTGTACACTTTAAAAGTTTGGATGTAATAACATTTAAGTCAGTATTTACAGAAGTCGCTTTTATTTTGAAAACCTCAAACCGGAAGTGTCATGTCTGTTGCCTGCTGCTGTCTAAAAACAGCCGTTGAGCTTGTCAGTTGGTTATTTTTGCGTTTGTTTGCACGTTTTTATCAACATATTAGATTATACACGGGTTAACTTGACAAACGAGGATCGTCAGTTTTACATCTGTAATTTGTTCACCACTGATAACATATTTCTGGAGGAATACAAGCTGCATGTTCGCTTCGTCTCCGAGCAGCAGTTCACACGGGACTATGGCGTAGTGAGTAAACAGTTCATAATATCGCGATAGTTCAGACTGGACTATCATTCAATGAAGAAACTGTTTTATTTATTCAAGCACATATATGAATATTCTGTATTTAAATTAATGGTCCATTTCAGAATAATATGATATGTTTTATAATGATTGATCATGAAAGTGTTCTCAAAGCTGGTAAAGGTGCAGCTAGTTTGAATGACTTTGTATACTGCAGGGTAGCTTGTGAATTTACTCCAGGTGGAACTAAAGTCTGATTCAACACTTGATTATATTTCACATCATTCATCCAGATCTGTAAAGTAACTAAAGGTATTAAATACATGTAGTGGAGGTAAAGTACACCATTTACCTCTGAACTGTAGAGAAGTAGAAGTAAAAAGTAGCATAAAATGGAAATAGTCAAGTAAAGTACAAGTACCTCTTAATTATACTTCAGTACAGTACTTGAGTAAATGTACTTAGTTACTTCCCACCTCTGATTATGTTCATTATTGATACTCAGGTGCTGAGGAGGCTTGGCTGTGTGACGGACGCACAGTTTGAGGATGTGTTCAACAAGGTGAGAGCACACAACCCAACAGCACGTTTTTGGTCTAGCATCACTTTACAAAACGTTTGCATTAAGACACTAAGACTAGCTGGTCCATTGTAAAGGTCAGTCCACCTTAAATGAGCAGTGGATGATCAGCAGGTGAAGGGCAGAACACAGGAACTTGGTCCTGAGGAGTTGTAACGATTATTAAACAAGAAAGTTGTCGAGTCAAGGGGTCAAATTAATGAACATTTGTGATTATTAGCGAATCGGTTGCAGGTGGGTGAAATCAGGCTTAGGGAGTACCGTATTACATGTAACAGCATTAGGTCATCAGGATACAAAATAGATAAATGTATTCCCTTACAGTTACAGAAGCAAAAACAATCAGATAACAGGTACATTTATGCAAAACAGGGCTCATTAACAGGATAGCAATGATACAAAACATATAGAAATAAAGAACAATACATCAAATCATCCTATATCTCTATATGGAAACTTGGAGCTCTCAATCCAAAATAAAATGGTTCATCAACAGTGTAACGGAGGTGATCTCTGGGGCCATAGATCTCGGCCTCCGTTACGGATAATATAGCTTCATATTTGTCGAAGTATATTGATCTGTTCTACGCTAAAACATTGCGCAGGAAGCATGTGACTATATGTAAGTTATGCATCTATTTGTCACGATCTGTCTATGTTTTAGTTTGTACCCCCTCCCGTCTTGTCTGTTGCTGCTGATTGTGTTCACCTGGTGCCCTGTGTTGTCTCCTCCCGCCTCACCTGTGTCTTGTTCGTTTGATTAGTCCTGTGTGTATTTAGGTTCTGTTTTCCTGTTATACCTCATTCACACCAACGGTGGTTCGGAGCTGGAGCTTGAAAAGCATCCCGTTCACACCGCAGCGGAGCCGCCTCTTAGCTCCGGAATCCGTCACGCCTACGTTGAGGCGGGGGCAGGGGCAGGATCCAGTTTGTACACAACGATGGAGAAACTTAACAAGCAGCAGTGGTCCACTGAAGAGACCAGCTACCTACTGGGAATCTGGTCTTCCGAAGAGGTACAGAGGAAGCTGGAGCACAATCCGCCAGTGTTGTTGTTGTCGGTGTCAGCTGTGAGGGGTTTCCACGCAAATGGTTACGTCATGACGCAAACGATGACGCAGCACCAGTCGGACTCTGGGCAGTATGAAAAGAGCCGGAGCTAAACCGAAGAACCGGTTCTGAACCTGAAAAGCTCTAGCACGGAGCTTGAACTGGAGTTGCGTTGGTGTGAATGAGGTATTAGTCTGGGTGTGTGTGAGATCCTTGTGGCTGATGACTGTGTTCAGGTGGACAGCAATATTGAGGCTGTGAATCATGTGTCAATTATGAATAAATACCCACACCGGGTTGTATTTGGACGTTCTGCCTCTGCCTCCTTAATTGGTCGATCCGCTCGATTGTCAGCTTCACAAATAGTCAGTGGTTAACTTATACATCATAAAATCAGTATGACAAAAACATTAAACATATTGTCCACTTATGTTGATAAAGATGGAGTTCATTTAAAAAGGTCCCACAACATGCTTTTCCGGTTATTACCCATCCCCTTGTGTGTTATGAAAGTTTTTATGCATGTAAACGGTCTGCAGAGTCACAAACCTTCGAAGTACACCCTGTAGCGAGTAAAACTCTAACACAGAGAAGACCTGTCTATGCTGCCACAGAAAGCCTCGTTGGAGATTTCTGTTCTTCCTGGGTTCTGTGACGTGCCCATACCCAAATGGACCAATCCGTGGAGCTCCTCACACACACACACACAATCAGCTGCAAAACTGTGATGCGCTGGGGGGGGGGGGGTGCTAGTGGAGCCTCGCAGCGGCGAAACTGTGGCGCACTAACACTGTAAGTGCGCTGCGTTTGGGGGTGCTAGTGGAGCCTCACAGATGGGGGTGCTGCAGCCCCCTTTGGTTATCCTCAGTTTGAATTTCATTAAGCTGTGAGGACTGACGACCAACACATTTGTGTCTTTTGAAATGAAAACACCATTTAAATATTTTGTCACAAACATTACAGCTGTATATGTTCTCTCCTGTGTGGACTCTCATGTGTACCTTTAAATGTTCACTCCGTGAATACGTTTTCTTACAGACTGAGCAGCTGTGTGGTTTATCTCCCGTGTGGATTATCATGTGTCGCTTTAAATGTCCACTCCGTGAAAATACTTTCTCACAAACTGAGCAGCTGTGTGGTTTCTCTCCTGTGTGGATTCTCATGTGTCCCTTTAAATGTCTAGTCTCTGCAAAAGCTTTCTTACAGACTGAGCAGCTGTGTGGTTTCTCTCCTGTGTGGATTCTCATGTGTCGATTTAAATCTCTATTCTCTGCAAAAGCTTTCTTACAAACTGAGCAGCTAAATGGTTTCTCTGCTGTGTGGACTCTCATGTGTTCCTTTAAATGTCCACTCTGTGAAAAAGATTTCTTACAAACTGAGCAGCTGTGTGGTTTCTCTCCAGTGTGGATTCTCATGTGTCGATTTAAATCTCTATTCTCTGCAAAATATTTGGTACAAACTGAGCAGCTAAAGGGTTTCTCTCCTGTGTGGATTCTCATGTGTTTCTTTACATTTCTTGTATTTGTAAAATATTTCGTACACATAGAGCAGCTAAATTGTTTCTTTACAGCACTACGGCTTGAATCACTTACAGATTCTTTTTCATGTTTCAGTGAGTTTGAGCCTGACGCAGGTTCTCTGGTCTCCTTCCAATCAGCACTGTCTTCAGTGTCAGGTTCAGAAGAGTCTCCAGTCTTTGGGTGTAAACTGCTCTCTGGATCTGAGTTCCTGGCTGGTTCTGGTCCTCGACAGTCATCTCCATCAGCTTCTGTTTCCATGTGTTCAGTTTGTCTTTGATGAGGCTGTGAGGACTGAGGTTTCTCTTTATCATCTTCACTCTTCACAGGGTCAGGAGTGAAAGTGGACTTGATGATATCAGCCTCCTCCAGATCCTGAAGCTGCTCTCCCTCCTGACTGATCCTGAGTTCCTCCTGTTCCTGCTTAATGTGTGGGGGGGGCTCTGGGTCCTCCTGGTCCAGACTGGTGCTCAACTCCTGCTGGTCAGGGAGAAGCTCTTCTTTAACCACCACCAGCAGCTGGACATCTGCATCAAACAGGAAGCACACAGTCAGAACAAACGGTTAAGTATGAGCATTTAAAAATCTAATCACCATTACAATGGGAGACATTTTGCAGCCCTAATTAATGCCTTTGTTTTTATACTTTCATATTATCTTTCTTAGACCCACCTATTGTGTATTTTTGTTGGCTCAATTCACCTTATGTAGCTCAGCCTTTTTCCACTTCCAGTTTAGCACTAGCTGCAATATAAACAAGGAATTGTATTTGGCATCGTTCATAGATACACTACGCCTATAGAATGAAAATACTCCGTTACAAATGAAAATCTTGCATTCAAACCTTATTTAAGTAAAAGTATGCAAGTATTAAGAGACAAATCTACAGCACCTTCTTATGTAAAAGTAATGATACTGCAATAACATTTTCGCGGGGGCAAAACGCAACATCTTGCAAGAAACAGCGTCTGAGGGCTTCTTAACATTTAAAGGTCCCATGTCATGCTTTTCTGGTTATTACCCGTGTTACGTCCAGCTCTAGGGGAACCTAGGCGCAGCACAACATTTGCACTCTACCTAACAAATAAGAAAAACGAAAACGAGAATTAACCAAAAGAAAGGGTTTCACACTTTTGCATACATTAAAGCGTGTCCAACAAGGACAGGTTAAAGTAGTTTATTTTCTGAGGGTTTCAAGACAAGCAAGAGGACCAGTATACGGTATAAATAAGACCACAGCACAACAGATATAAACGCAACAATGTTGGGAGTAGGAGAAGTCGAGTCAGAGAGAGGGCGAGGAACTGCATGGCTGCAGCTTAAATGCTCCCCTCTTCTTCAGGTGGACCAATCAGCAGGTTGAAGGTAGCTAATCAGCTAACAGGCACCACCTGCTTGCCCACACACACACACACACACACACACACACACACACACACACACACACACACCACACACACACACACACACACACACACACACACACACACACACACACACACACACACACACACACACACACACACACACACACACACACACACACACACACACACACACACACACACACACACACACACACACCACACACACACACACACACACACACACACACACACACACACACACACACACACACACACACACACACACACACACACACACACACACACACACACACACACACACACACACACACACACACACACACACACACACACACACACACACACACACACACACACACACACACACACACACAACACACACACACACACACACACACACACACACACAGACCCGGAGGAGGGAAAAATATCTTCATATAAATGACATAACGATCGTATGTCATTATATTGTAACACCCCCCCAACTAAAAATCAAACAGTTATGTAGCTTTTTATGCATGTTAACGGTCTGCAGAGTCACAAACCCTCAAAGTACACCCTGTAGCGAGTAAAACTCTAACACAGAAAAGGCCTGTCTATGCTGCCCCAGAACGCCTCGTTGGAGATGTATCTTTTTCTTCCTGGTACCAAGTGACATAACGATGACCCAAATGGACCAATCCGGAGCTGTTACGTTAAGTCCGCGGATTGGTCCAAAATGAGCCACGCAACGTCCCGCCAACACGGCACCCAGACCCCACGCAACATTCTCATCTGTTTGTCATTACTGGTGTCATTTTCTGGTTGCTAACAAACGCCATTGTAACACATAATCACTGATGTTTATGGAAGCAAACAAGAGTTGAATTTTATCAGACACCGAATTTATAGCATTGAAAATAATTACTTTGAAAATCATGTATCTGAATTGTTTTGCTCCGAATTTACCTATGTGAAATAAAAATGTAACAATTCAAGTTAAAAAAAAATGTGAATAGTCAAATTCAGATCCCAAAAATTCAAGTGAAAACAATTCGAATGCACAATTTCGGTTTATAAAATTCGACGTAAAAAATGTCGGTGTTTAAAATTCGATGTCCAAAATTGCGATGCAACATCATTCGGGCTACTCAGACAGGATAAGCAATCAAGCCCGAATGCAATCAAACCAACTTCTGGCTTATCAGAGCCAAGCGGTGAACTCCGGGACAGTGCGGTGAAGCCCAATGCTGCACACTGTAGGCGATGGATGTAGATGGGAGTAATTCCTGTAGACCCTATGTTAAAATGTCCAACTTAACATCAGAAAATTAACATGTTTCTAGCCTGGATCCACAAAAACATATTCTGTATATAGTTAGATTTTCCCTTCATGACAACGGGACTGCTGCTCCTAGCTCCTCCGTCTCACTGCTATCTCCGTTAGCTCCATTGGCTCCGTGATGCTACAGGGACTCAGCTCATGAGGAGAACACTACTTGAACTCGGCCGTGTTTGTTGTGTTGGTTCCTAGTACTATTCGTCCTGCAAATATAGGATTTATCTGTGGGTAAAACAGACCGTTCATGAATGCAGTTTCTTCGGTAAGTCAACCCTGCATACTTTGTTATGTTACTGGTGTTTTTATTAAGCTAACGTTAATTAATGTTTAGAGTTAGGTTAGCATTTGAGCAATCGGTAGCTCCATCTGTGCTAAAAGTTAAACGTAATAGAGAAGTATAAAACATTAAGTGGGATGCTACTGTATACCAAAAGGCTTCTGTGCAAGGTTGGTCAAATAAGGTTTAAAACTACCTTTTTATATCTGCTCTCTGATCTCTCGACAAATTGAAAGTACTTATTGCCTGAGATCTCTTGATGTGGTTTTATTAAATGTGCCAAGTGCTAGGACTGTCTTAGGGAAGAAAGCTTTTAGTTGTGCAGCTCCACTAACTTGGAACAGTCTGCAAACATGTTTAAAACTGAGCACTTTGGTTCCCCTGCATCATTTTAAAACTTGGCTGGGTGACATGCCGTTTGATACTCATGGTACCTGTCACTGTAAATAGAGTTTGTAAACTGTACCCTGTACATTATGTTGTATGTCATCCTTATTGTTGTTCTGTTGTTTTTATGTTACATGTGCAACTAATGTCCTGCAGGTCACCCTTGAAAAAGAGATCTTTTGATCTCAAGGGGCTTTCACCTGGTTAAATAAAGCCTACAAACAAAAAACAAACAAGGTCATCCTTGTACGTTAGATAGTTAGTTTGCTAGTTAGGTTACTGTATGCGTTGTTAAGGTTCATTTCAATTCGCTTTGCTCTATTATAGCATAAAACAGACAGTCAACGTATTGTTGAAGAGAGGCTTAGTGTATATTAAATCAACCTCACAATGAAATGTGTGTATATTTAAAATATGAACGTCACATTTCAAGATGGTCCAGAAATAACGCTCCCTTAGATATTGTAATATGGTTTGTTGAACTGGAGTTATTTATTGCAGCTAACCGCCTATCCGACGAACGACATTACATTACATTACATTGCATTTAGCTGACGCTTTTATCCAAAGCGACTTACAATAAGTGCGTTCGACCAACAAAATACAACTTGAAGAAAACAGAATCATATAAGTACATCAGGTTTCATAGAGCAAAAACATTTCAAGTGCTACTCCTAGTCCTTTATTAGTATAAAAGTGCTTCGTTAATAGTTCTATCGCTCGAAGTGGAGTCGAAAGAGATGAGTTTTCAGTTTGCGCCGGAAGATGTGCAAGCTGAGTGCCTCTCCACCTATGTTTCTTACTCTCTTACTTGCTACCCTTTGCCCTCAACCTAAGGGAGTGCTTGTTCTTCCGTCTGTCTGTCTGTGTCTGTGTATTCTCTTGTTCCGATTAACCCAGCCAAATGTTTTCTTGTTTTGTGTCTATATCTACGCCGGGATCTGGAGTCGAGGCTGATATTCTTGCTGTGGTCCTGTGTTCTGGATCCTCTATCCTGAGTTCTGGATTAAGTCGTGGCTGAACCTGTCTCTGCGGTCCTGCCTGGGTCTCGTAATGCTGCCTCCCTGAAGGCTCGCACAGGATTGTAGTTGACATCTTTGTAGATTCATCTTCTTATTACAGACACATGCATTTCCTAACATTCGGTCTATATGCTGTAAAATGTATTATCTCTTTGATTTACACACGGCATCTATTGCACGTCTGTCCGTCCTGGGAGAGGGATCCCTCCTCTGTTGCTCTCCCTGAGGTTTCTCCCATGTTTTCCCTTTAAACTGTGGGTTTTCTCTGGAAGTTTTTCCTTGTACGATGTGAGGGTCTAAGGAAAGAGGGTCTAAGGACAGAGGGTGTCGTTTTTTCTCATACTGATATTCTGAACAATCTGTGCTGTTGTATTAGCTGTAAAGTGTCTCTACTGTAGGCTATTTTTATTATATGTACAGCACTTTGGCTCGACCAAAAATCGTTTATAAATGTGCTATATAAATAAAACTTGATTTGATTTACGTGTGTGATACATATGAATATGGCATATGAAAACAAATTAATTTGACTGACTCATGAAAAACTTGTCCAAAGTAACAGTAAAATAAAAAGGACCTACACAATAATACTCAATCAAACTGATACAGTATAAGGACTGTGATAGCCAGCAATTTCTTAAGTATAACAATAAGATTATGACCTGTTTTTAAAAGTAGATAAAAAGTTGTTTGCATGTAAAGAAGTCTGTAACCCACGCATGTAACTTTACATCTGTTTGTTCAAAATCTCCTTAAGGTGATCCAGACAGGCTGGACCAGAGGAGGAGAGACAGATCTGGACTCCTAACAGCAGAGAACTTCAGTACGGATTCCAAGGTACACCTTTTTCATACTTTACAAAGAATGCATAAAGTAATGACTCAAATACACTGATATACATGCCATTAAACATTACTAAATACTAGATCACATACACACCTGGAGGGTTCATAGAGAGAAAAATAAATAAAACGTGGCCACGTTTTACTTTCTCGTTCGCACGAGATAATAAAGTGTGCGCAGGAGTTAATAAAGCGTGGCCTCGTTTTATTTAAATTGAGGCCACGCTTTATTAACTCGTGCGCACGAGTTAATAAAGCGTGGCCTCAATTTAAATTGATTAGTTTTATGAAGAATATGTCCGGTCACCAGGGTGTGTGTGT